GTGTGCTCTTTAAAGAAAATCGGTAACCTTTTTGTGGTCTATGCTTCTGAGTTAAGTGTACCTCAGAAATGCAGTGCCATTAGTATCACTGATTTTAGCAGGAAGGTAGTGATGCCTAAGGAGACAGTGGGTTCATAGGGGGCAGTTCAGAGCTAGTCAGAGTCATCTGGAATTAAAGATTAAGTTTCTAAGCAAAACCACTTGTCATCCAATTGGTTCACTCCCGGGTGTCCCAATGAAACACCAGCAAGTGACAAGGAATGGTGGCAAATGCCTGAAGCCTTGCTGCAGTAGAGGGCCAAGATGTATTGGCAAGTCGATGGAATTTAGAGAAACAGTCATGCCTTTCTATGCCATATCAAACGAACTTCCAGTCACTTTTGATTCTATCCATTTTATTGGTTTCTCTTGACACAGCAAAGGCAAGGTCCCATGTGTTGAAAAGCCCACTTTCAGGAACCCACATATGCACGGATTCCCTTGAGCCCTCCGCCTTTTATTATGCAGACCATAGAAGGTGCCGTTTTGGTTAAGTTCATCAACTGATACTTCACTTTTGCTAAAAAGTCCAAGTAGTGTTCTCTACACACATGCATGGAAGGAAGAATTACCAGAATTACCCCTGAGTGTAAAAATTTAGTCTAAACTTTAGGAACCTTATATTTTCGGGTGCTAGTCAAGCAAGGCTTACAAAACACTCAGCACTGATATGACACACACCATCTCCACACAGATGAAAAGGAACAAGACGACTTGCCCAGCTCAGGGAGGGGAGTCTCCTGGTTGTACCCCAATCCTATGCTGATTCTGTTTCCTAGAACTTAACAATCAATAAAGAATACTACAAAACTTCAACTGTGGTATGCAATCAATCTTATGGCCTGATTTTCTAGTCCTGCTACCTTATTTCTTGGCAAAGAAGAAGTAGCTTCATTTCTGTCTAAATTTCTCCTATGTCGTTAGTTTTGTGCTAAGCCTTTTTTTTAATGCTGGGTTTTATCATGTCTCTTTGGGAGCATTTTCTCATGGTAAGATACATCATAACATATTAGAAAACATTTAATTTGGGAAGATTCCACTACAGTCTTTTTTGGTATAGAAGCAAACAGCCATGGTACTGGGCTTGAATTCAAGACCTTACACTCTTGTCTTGCTTGCTAGTTTGGCTGGTGCTTGGCCACTTAAACTATGCTCCAGTCCTGCTTTGGAGGTGGGACTCTTTGGAGATGAGAATCTTAAGGATTCTCCTGCCTTGGCTGCCTTCAAATCTGTATCTATTGGACCTCAGCCTTCGGAGATTCATAGTCATGAGCCACCGAAGCTGGGGAACATAAATGTTTTGATTTGACTATGAGATCATGATTAAAATTCCTAAGGTCTATCACTAGCTCTGCTTAGATCTTGTGCTTTTCTTCAAATTTATCTAAAATCCTGGGTTTTGTAGTAGCTCCACTACTGTTAAAAAAAAAAAAAAGTTCAGGGGTAGATTCAGCACTAAGGAAAATGACTAAGCAATTTAATCTACTGCAGCAAATATACAACCTTGCATGACCCTTTTTATCTGCCATAATACAAAATTAAATCTCAATAACTTATTGTTCCTTTCCATCGTCTATTCTCTCTCTCTCTCTCTCCCCCTCCCCCCAAGAGCATCATCTTTATCCACGATACCACATCACACCTCTAAGAAGCTCCTAGTTCAAACCTTTATAGCTTTTAACTGAAATCTGTGATGGCCCTTTTGCCACAAAAATTATGGAAATGTGGCCATTAGAACAGTCCAGGGAGTGCATGAAAAACTCAGTTTTATTTTAGAATAAATATGACACTAAATTCTGTGAAACTATGTCCTCATAGCCTCAATCAAGTAGCTTTTTTAGCTGCTCTTGAAGTTATTATCATCATTATTTAATTTTATTTTTTGCAGTGCTGGGGGTATACATGTCAGGTGAATGCTCTATCACTGAATCACTGTTACTCTTCTTGAAGTAAACTCTGAACAATTATTGAGAGCCTTGTTTTGACCTGAAAGGTTCCCAGAACTTGTGAGAATGAGTGGTGTGGCTGGGTCACAATTCTTACTATTGGCTGTGGCAGAAAGATTCACTGACCTTAAGTCTGTTTTCTTTTTGTCCCAATTGTCTTGAGTTCTCTTTCCTGCCTCATGGCCAAAGAGCAGAACACACCCATTCTTTACAATATGGAAAACCTTTTCAATGGAGCAGAGATTAGAGTGTTTGTTAGGGGAAAATTGTAAAGAATCCAATTTCTACCTCCAGGACTCGTGTGCAGATTTCCCGAATAAAACCAAGGCCAGTAACCCAAAGCAGCAGGAGTGAGCGCCTGCACTCACCACGCAGCACAGGGCTCCGGACACAGAGACCTCGGGAAGGTTTTGTTTCTGTGTCATGCTTGGTAACTTTTCGCTTAGCATGCTGACACTGAGGTGCACCTAAATGTTACAGTTCAAGCAAAGCACAATTCTACATTTAAAAACTAAGGAATAAAATCAAGTAAACAGTTCATTGAACAGTCACTAGCCATCGAGCCTTGCGGGCATCCCATGTAGATGCCGGTCGACGCTCCTGGCCTTATAGCACCAAACACCTGGACAAAGCTGAGGCTCAAATAAAACAGAGCAGAAGAATTCTCCTCTTGCCTCCTTATCTCTTTGCCAAGTCACAAAGGGTTAAAAAAGAGGGAAATGGTCTCGTTCATAGCAATTGGCCAAGATTTAAACAACAATGACAACAAAAATGGAACAATAAGAACAAACCTAGACCCTGAAAGTAAGCCAGGGATTTCAGAGTTTGTCATTTGGGTTTGATACAGAATTGAAGGAACATTAAGAAAATGAGGCGACTCATTGTCATGCTTCAATCCAGAGAAAACTCTACTAAATTGGACCTTACTATCCCAGAAATTCTTTGGGAAGGGATTTCCAAGGTGAGAATGCAGGTTTTCCTAGAGGCATTTGTATTGTGACCTCCCTCAAGCTGTGGAAGCAAAAGGTCAGGGTTTAAATCACTTCACAGAAAGTAATGACTAGAAGACCAAGCATTGTGTGCGTGTGTGTAGGGACCTGGGGGGGTGGGGGGCATGCATAGGCCTTCAGTGGTTCCTGAAGATATTCTCCACTGCAGGCAGCATGCAAAATCCAGCTAGGAAATCACAGGACAGAAGTGAGAAACGACTGCGACCAGAGTCCAGCAATCTTTATCATTCATACACCTACCCAAGACTCCACGAATATACTTCGCCTCAAGAATCTGGAAGCTGATCCTTCCTTGGAGATTCTTAGATAGGGTCAAGGTGTGTTGAAGTGGACATATCCTCCTGTCCGGCAGTATTTCTATGCCCCATTGATTTCCAACACTCTACTGGAGGGGCTACATTAAGAACTGAGACGTCTTCATGACAGGTTTCATCTTCTGTCCCCAGGGAGTGGTGTCTCCAGTCTGGACCACATCCACAAATGCACACTGTCATCAGCAGGACCGGGGAAACCAGAAGATCCGCAGTAGATCCGAAGTCACTCGCAGCCCTGAGACAAACAGTCTTGTGGAGAAAACAAGATCCTGGCAGCATCTGCCTAGGGTGAAAAAAAGTCTAGTAGTCAACCGTGTGAGGGCTCCTGAGGTAAGAAGCAATGCAGATCCTTAATGTTATAAATAAATAAATAAACAAATAAATAAATAAATAATGAAAGCAACTGAAATACAAGAGGGCTCATTGGAGATAAGCACCTCTTCTCAATAAAAATAAAAATCCCCTCTTAGAGTGTCATGGCCCTCATGCAATGGTGATTGTTAGTAGGCTCAGAAGAACCTGTAGGAAGGAAAAGCATGGAGATAAGAACTGGAAACATTCCAATGCTGCACATCTGTCACCTGATGACACACAAGTCATCTGAAATATCCCCGAGGTAGTCTTGTTTTCAAGGAGTTGCAAAGGGCTCCAGACCCACTTGGAGCTTCTTCCCCCTTTAATGCCATTGCACATTCCCACACATCCCGTGTCCGCCTCCGTGGAATCAAAGCAAGGTGCCTCCCACTCCGCATTGTCAACCACAGTACAGTTTGAGGCCTGGGCTGGCCACAGTGAAATGCAATTCCAACATCTGGTTTGCACGCCCCACTCCAAAGAGGACTCTGTCAAATGATGCAGGTGCTTACCTGCCAGTTATTTTGGGGGGATGCTACAGAATAAAATCAAAGAAGTCTGGTATGCAACAAACATGCATGTCTGTCTCTTATTGAACCCACACTGGGAAGATCTCCCCTCATTGTGTCTTTCACTTTTAAGAAGGAGCCAAAAAGAAAGTGGAAAGGAATCAATGCTTTAAAATTCAGAAGTGCATCTCTGATACCAGGAGCAATACGTACTGTTTACTCTCAATTCACCAGGCTATGCATGAATAGCTCGTGGGGGAATCACCTTGGTGATAAATACAACTTACTCTCTAAGGGAACAAGTTACGACATTCAGCAATCCTATAGAAAGTTCGATTTTGGCTCCTTTCTGCAACAGAGTTCCTGGTTGATATTAGAGCCTATACAATGTCCATACCTGCAAGGAAAACCATTCTTAGGACCTGTTCAACCTCCTCACTGGCTCAAACACAAAACCCTGGGAGACAATAGGGAACTGGACCAATTAAGTAATACTCCATAACCCAATGGAACTTGGAGACTACATTTCCTCATTCCATTTACCATTCAGGAGTTAGCAGGGAAATCCTGACTTTGATCACATGAAACATGCGTTCTTCCCTTAGACTTAAATTTTTTTTTTTAAAGTCTCATTTGGGAAAAATGCAATTAAAAAAACCCTGTAATTTTATCCAAATGGCCTTGTGAGGAAGGAAAAAAAGAAGCCATCTTCCTCTTATGCACTATCACTGCCCAGGGGTCATTCTAACAGGAAACCCTTCAGAACACCACCCTGGATCAAGAACTTCAACATTAAGTTAACCAAACAACAACAACAACAAAATAAAGTCAGCATTTAGTCACAGCTCTGTCCTCCTGTAGAAGATCGTTGAGCTCAATAACAGTTGTGGCAAAATCTACCAGGTCTACAAAGTCAGATGTGATGATGTTGACACCCATCGCTCCAGGCTTCTGAGTCTTCACCCAGTCTAGGATGGCAGGAAGATTCCTACACAGAGGAAGGGATTGGGGGAAGAGAGAACAGACCAATAAGAAGTCTAGAAGGAAAGGCTCCTCCAGAAATGGAAACAACATTTCTAGTTCAACTTTATGACTCTCTTAAGAATGAAGAAGTTGCTATGCTATCTGAGAACTACATTTCCCAGGGTTTCTCGTATGGGAGAGGAAATTATTTAACTGACCCAAGCACCAAAAAAGGATAAACATGTCAATGGAACCTTGAAACGTGACGCTCAAGAGCTTCATTACTGGTGGATTTTTAGATCATTTTAATCATGGAAAAATATAAAATATGTTGAAACTGAAAATATGTTATTATGTCGACGGCTCACATTTTACTATGCTTGCTTGTCATGTATCTATCCATCACTCCATTACCATCTTTCTATCAGCCCATCTTATACTTTTGGCCTATTCCACTTGCAAGTGTCTATATACATCCCCTAAATGTGTCAATAGGTATACTAGGGGGTCAACCCTTGTTTCCTTGGGAAATTGAAGCACAAATCTTAAGTTCACACTTAGTTTTGTCAAGTATACACAAATAAACCAAAGTCACCCCAATGATAACACATTATCAGCACTTCCAGAAGTCTCTTCTGAGTCAGTTCCTGCTCCATTTTCCCACAGGCAACAACTATACAGATTCATCTTCCATGATAAATTAGATTTGCCTGTTTTAGAGCTTCATGTTCACCATGCATATGTATACATATGTATTCTTGAGTTTTCTTTTGTGTGGCACAAAGTAGTTTTGAAATGTATCCTTGTTGTTGTACATATCTGTATTTCTTTTAATTATTGCATAGTTTTTTGTTGTGTGAACATGACATAGATTGTTTATTGTCTGTTTCCAATTTTTGGTTTTCAGTTTTTATTATAAATAAAACTATTGTGGGCATTCTTCTACAATTCTCTCTTTTTTTAATGGCATTTCTTTACATTTCTCTTGGCTAAAAACCAAGGCATAAAATATCTGTCTAACAAAGTTGGCTTAGATGTAGTCTTATAAGAAATTACCAGACCTTTTCACAAGGTATATTCCGGCCAACAAACCAGATAGCTCTGTTTGCTTCTGATGCTACCACTCTTTTTTTTTTTTTTGCTACCACTCTTTTAAATTCTAGTCATATTAGCGGATATGTAGTTATATCTGTGTGTATTAATTTGCATTTCCTGATGGATAATCTTTTTGATTATTCATGCTATGTCTTGTTCGACAGTCTTATTGAAGATTTTTTGGCTATTTGTGGATATTCCTGGAGGTTTCTGTTCAATACTGCATTGTTTTTTCATTTTCCTTTTTTTAAATGTTAAGTTATGGATATGATTTACAGATTATTTATAAATCATTTGAAGGCTTTCTACATGATAAACACTTTTATCCAAAGAAGCTCTGAGTTTAGTTTCACAAACCAGTAAGTGGATGTGATGGTGTTGAGGTTAGATGTAAATGAGAACACCATCAGCAGAAAGAGGCATGAAGCATAAAAGCATGCTTACAGTTTCACAGTCTACTAAATACCCAATAGGTTGAAAACAGCTTCAGGAAGACACAACCTGCTGCATCTGTTGTGAATTATTGTCTTAATTGTCCCTTCACCCTTCTTTTGGTCATACCCACTTTGGTTGTTATTTTTCCCTTTTCTTTCTCCTTCACAGCTCCCTCCTTTTTTTTTTTTTTAAAAAAAAAAGAATGAGTCATGACTTATCAGTCTTCTGAAAAAGCAAGTTATTAAATACTTGATAGCATTTTTCTCATTCATGATGACAACTATAATCCATCCTGGGTCTGTTCCTTCAGTGGAACCTACAGTTGGTCATGAGCTAAAACAATTTACAGTGTTATAGTTATAGCTGACTTGTGACTTAGTAGACTACACATTCCTCAGAGTACTTCCTTTTTTTTAGCTAGACTTCTGAAGACTTAATAAACTCAATATGATTTTACTCTCCCACTGTCCCTCATCCTCTCTCCCTGTGAAATAAGGATCATAATGATATAGTAGATAGATTTTTAGAGGGATGAAGTACTGGGAATATAGTAAGTACTGTGAGGGCATTTGGCAGAAGAAAAGAAATCATATTGTGGAACTAAGGGTAAGATATTTCCTTAAAATACTAAGACCTTGCCACCTAGGCAACAAAACGTCGTAGCCTAAGAATGATGGAGGTAGAGACTATGCTGGGAATCACACAGGCTCCTGAGCCTGGTGCATTGAAGCTTTCCCACAGTCCCTAGTCAATGTTTTAAGTATGGAATGCAGGCGCCATCTGCTGGTCATCATGGGAAGATAAGATTTGAAGGCCTAGTGGCTCAGCTCCAGAAATCTGCAGCTTGGAGCCCAACCGGAGCCTGAGCAGAGAAACGAGGGAAAGGTATGTACCAGTGGTCTTCAGGGACAAAAAGCCTCGTGTCTGTTTTGCATTATACCTGCCAGCCTTCCCCAACGCTAAGATCAAATAATCAGGATTAAGTACAAAGAAAGGGAAGCATTGAAGCTGTGGTGAAAGGGCAGCCACTCATTCTTTTCTTAAATCCTGGCTTTTACCAGAAAGAGAGATCCAGCAAAGAGCAGAGCCAGACATTTCTGACACCAACAGGCTACAGAGCGTACAAACTTCCCTTTGACCTTGAGGCCCACTGGAGAACAATGCTGGGTCCGGTGCCTTTCTAAAGTGTTTCTTCATCAACATACCTACTACTTTGTGCCAGGCACTGTGGTAGGATTTCCAGCTTAAGTCTACAGTTTTGTGAGGTATTATTAACCCCACTTAACTTGTGAACGAAGTCCCAGCACAGAAAATTTATCCAAGGCTGCCTGGTTGCTAAGAGACCCTATTAGTTTGCTGGCTAGGGTAGCCATGACAAATACTCACTGATTGGTTTCAAGGAGTGTAGTGAATTTCCTCTTGTTTCAGAGGCTAGAAGTCTGAAGACAAAAATGGCCAGAGGTCTGATTTCTTTCCTCTTTCCTTGCCTTGCAGATGTTACCTTCCTATTGTCTGTTTCCTGGGGTAGCTTCTATGCACACAGCCCTGCCGTCTTTTAGTTGGTAGAAATGTCCTCTTCTAAGGACATCAGGTGAAAATTGTGTCAAGGTCCATACCAACTGCCTTTTCCCAATTTAATTACCATCTCTCTCTCTTTTGGACAGTATTGTGTTTGAACTCAGAGCCTTGCAAGGTGCTCTTACTCCTTGAGCCACACCCCATGCCCTTAATTATGTCTTTTACAAAAGCCTTTCTCCAAAAATAGTCCCCCGCTGAGGTAGTGGGATTAGGACTTTAACATATGGATTTTGGGAGAAGAGGCATACTGTACCACCTATCACAGGCCGGTCCCAGGCCTTCTGATTTCAGTTCACATCTCCTAGATGCCTTGTGCCCCGGCTTAGGCAAAAACTCACTTTGGTCTGATCTCAGTGAGAATGCTAAGAATCTGAATTTCAGGATTTTGCAAATCTGAGGGCAAACGACTATCAGAGTTCAGTCTGAATATCTATAATTTTCTGTGGTTTCCTTCCAGGGTGATGAACCAAGGTGATGAAACAAGATTTCAGGTGCATAGTTCACCTATGAGTTTGGGAGCTAACTCCCTGCTTGAGAAAAGGATCTCTTTAGTTGAAGGCCAACCAACCTTCCCATGGGTTTGAACTGATGATCAGTGTTCAGGAACAGCTGGAGAGCATTCCCATGTGGCTGATCAGTGAGGACAGACCCACTGGGTGCTGGTACTCAAGGAAAGGACCTATGCTTACTCAGTAGTTCAGAGGAAATGGCAGCCACGTGCTGCCCTGGCACTGGGAAACACATTCTTGGCCACGTCTGCATTTCCTCTTTGGCAGATGTGTACAGGAATGTGCCTGTGACCAGCAGAGGTGAAGATGACAAAGTATCTTCCAGTCTAAGGAACATCTGCCTACCAGTTGGGCAAGCATTCTGCCATACTGGGAGACCTTGACTTTGGGCACATGGTATCATCATTATCACTAAACAAGGAGCCTGGCATTCATCTACAGCCAGAATAATGTTGTAAGAATTTTGAAGTTTATACACAATTTACTTCATGGGTCGTTTTTCTTGACTGTGTCTTAAGTGGGGAAAATAATGTGCTTTGGACAATGTGCCCTTCTAGAGACTGGCTTGGATTTAAGAAGCAAATGAAATCATTCTCAAAATAGTACTTTCTGTTCAGAATACAGAACACAGCTATAACTTCCTTATTCTCATTATCTCTCAGCAAAGACTTTTTTTTGGTCGGCCGTGGGGCTTGAACTCTGGGCCTGGGCGCTGTCCTTCAGCTTTTCAGCTCAAGGCAAGCGCTCTACCACTTGAGCTACAGCGCCACTTCGGTTTTCTGGTGGTTTATTGGAGATAGGAGTCTCACGGTCTCTCCTGCCCGGGCTGGCTTTGAACCACGATCCTCAGATCTCAGCCTCCTGAGTAGCTAGGATTACAGGCGTGAGCCACCAGCGCCCGGCTTTTTTTTTTTTTTTCGGTCCAGTCGTGGGGCCTGAACTCGGGGCCTGGGCCCTGTCTGAGGGCTCTTCAGCTCAAGGCTAGCGTTCTACCACTTGAGCCACAGTGCCACTCCCGGCTTTTTTCTTTTTCCTTATGTGGTGCTGAGGAATCAAACCCAGGGTCTCAGGCATGCAAGGCAAGCACTCTACCACTGAGCCACCTTCCCAGCCCTCAGCAAAGACTTTTATTAGTGTGATTTTCGCCTTACTTTACAGGAATCTTTCTGTTCATTTTTCCTATGAGCTGGTGAATCCAGTAATATTAATTTATACATTTATAATTATAATTCATACATTAATTTATACATTTATGGATGCATGAACAAATGCTATAAAATGAGTTTGTAATTCTAGATCCTTAGATGTCATACTAGTTTATCAAATTCTTTTTACACTTGGGCGCAAACAATTCAATCAAGTCTTACAAAAGCCACATAGAGAGAGGTTACTTGTTGTGTTCATTGTCAATATAATCAGGAGGCCTCCCAAAAGGAAAACTGTAGCTATCTCTTGTTTAGGTGAATTATTGTTATTTGAACTCAAGCTATCTAAACTCAGAACACAAATACGTATGAATGATTTTCTTACTACCTGTACTGAAAGTCAGGAACTAAATGGATTCTTACAGATACCTTTTGTTTTCTAAAACGTATTTGCTTTCTGAACTTGGATTTCAAGAGATGCCCTGCTATCCAAATATATTTGTAACATATAAATCGATGCCCACATACACCTATCTACTTACATGCATATACACAATGCACATATATACACACATATATGCATATATGCTTACATACAGATGTGTGCATATATACCCATATTCCTTCATAGGTACATTCATATAAACATCTATCTATATACACATACATATAAATATACACACAAACACATAGTCATACGCACACGTAATTATCTTTTTCTAGATAATATCTATCAGTTGTTGGTCTCCAGGATGATGAATGTTAATCATCTCGGACAGAATGACTGAATGTCCCTGTAAGATGGTACAGTCATGCTTAATTCTTCCCTGAGGAAGTATCTAGCTATGGCATGATTCTCAGGACTCACAGTCACTATGGAAGGGGGAGGAATGAATTCATTCCTACAGGGCTCACCTCTAAGTCCCCATCACTCATCAGCACAGCCAGCACAGTGTTTAATTATTCTCCGGTGAGGGAGTGCCTACCTGGCCAGCTACAGGGGTGTGGGCGGACATGTGTGAGAAGAGAAGAAACACTACAAGGGGCTCAAAGTGCTTTGCCTTAGAATTAAAATTTAGGAAGTATTTATGGAATAGTGTGAACATTTTAACAGAGTGCTTAAGAATCCTTCAGGTACTTTTAATACAATCTCCCCCAAATCTACATTTTTTCAATCCGCAAACTTCATTGTCAGAAGAGAATGAAGATTAATGATCTTGAAAAACCTTACCAGGAGGTGACATTATCCAAAAAGAAATGTACTCATTACCTGACTTAAGTAACTATAATTCCTCTATCACCTTTACAATAACAATACATTTTTAAAAAAACAATTAAAAAAAAAAAACCCAAATCCTACCAGAGCCAGGCACTGGTGGCTCACGCCTGCATTCCCATCTACTCAGGAAGCTGAGATCAAAGGATCATGGTTGAAAGCCAGTACAGGTAAGAAAGACTGTAAGGCTCTTTTCCCCAATTAGCCATCAGAAAACTGGAAGTAAAGCTGTGGCTCAAAGTGGTAGAGTGCTAGCTTTGAGCAAAAGAGCTCAGGGACAGCGCCCAGGCCCTGAGTTCAAGCACCACAACCACTATCACAAACAACAAAAACTTACCAGGGGATAGGTGCCGATGGCTCATGCCTGTAATCCTAGCTACGCAGGAGGCTGAGATCTGAGGATCATGGTTCAAAGTCAGCCTAGACAGGGAAGTCCAGGAGCCTCTTATCTCCAATAAATCACCAGAAAAAAAACAGAAGTGGTGCTGTGGCTCAAGTGGTAGAGCACTAGCCTTGAGCTGAAGAGCCAGGGGACAGCACCCAGGCCCAGAGTTCAAAAAGTCTTAGCAGGGATGTGGGGCCAGGCATGGGGGTGCATGCCTGTAATCTCAGCATTTGGGAAGTAGGGAGGCAAGAAGGTTGTAAGTTTGAAGCCACTCTGGGCTGCATATGGAGACTGTCCCAGAAAATATCAGCAACATGAAGAACAAAACCACCACCAACAGAAATCTCACTTTTAGGGTGGAAGCCAACGTTACCTGTGAACCAGAGTGTTTTTGAGGCCTCCAACCAGGCCTCTGGCGATGGTCTTCACTCTGGGGGTGAGGATCGCCTGGGACACGTGGAAGGAGCCGCGTGGTGCTCGCTCACTTAGTGTGGTCTCCAGGAAGAGGATTAGTTTGCGCACACTTGTGGTATTCGCCCAGGGTGCTGGGATCTTCTTTCCTGGCCACAGGAAGGGGTATTGCTTGTAGAAGGGACAGTGATAGAAAATAAGAACCTGAAATGTTCAGAGCAGGGGAAGGAAAAGGTTGAATGTTAGTTTTTTTAATTAATTTATTTTTTTTACTCTGATTGCTTGAGGGGAAGTCAAACAAACAGATGTAGGAATTCAAGGAATGCTACATATATTTAAAGACAAATCAGCAAAGATGTAGTGAGCACTTGCTATGACTCAAACCTTCTCAACTGTAGGTAGGTATCAGTGGCTCATGTCTGTCATCCTAACTACGCAGGAGGCTAAGATCTGAGGACCATGGTCTGAAGTTGGTCTAAGCAGAAAAGTCGGTAAGACTGCTCTTATCTACAACTAACTAAACATCTAGCACTAGATTTGGGTCATTAAAATTAAGGGTTAGTACCAGATCCAAGTTTAAGCTCCGGTATACACACACACACACACACACACACACACACATTTTTTTGGGTTAGTACCCAGATCCAAGTTTAAGCTCCGGTATACACACACACACACACACACACACAAACAAATACACACACACACACACACACACACACACACACAAATGATTTTTTTTTTTGGGTCCAGTCGTGGGGCCTGAACTCTGGGCCTGGGTGCTGTCCCTCAGCTCTTCAGCTCAAGGCTAGCACTCTACCACTTGAGCCACAGCGCCACTTCCGGCTTTTTTCTTTTTGCTTATGTGGTGCTGAGGAATTGAACCCAGGGCCTCAGGCATGCAAGGTAAGCGCTCTACCACTGAGCCATCTTCCCAGCCCCACAAATGATTTTTTTAACTTTGTGTTTTACCATGAACAGTTTGGGAAATACAGCAACATTACAGACCAGCTTCTCAGAACAGTGTTCTAAATAAAACCATAAACTTGACCAGATTACAAAGGAAATGAGGGCTATGGAAGTATGCCTATTCATATTACATAAATGTGAGATGATTAATGTATGCACTTTGAGATATACAATCAAATTATTTGTCGAGATTCTGAGTTCTATAATGTAAGTCAGTGTTAGTTTAAGCTCTCTCAATAATTGTGCAGTGACAGATTCACACCTATGAGAAAAAGTAACAGGTGGATCCAATGCTCAGTGTAGGAATTTTTAGTTAAAAGGTTAGTAAAAATGAATATGAAAACTTTCTTTTGCCATCCAAATTCAGTCTTGTTAAAATCTCTCCATACACCCACCCAGGGAAGCTTTTGGACCTCAGGCTGAATACATCAGAAGTTTCTGGGTTGAGTTGGTCATAAGGTTTTTACAAATTATGTTTCGGGTGCACTGGCACTCAGCTCTTAGAATTTAGTTTATGTAAACACAGAGAACTAATTGGGGGATAAATAGATTTTCAACTGTGCTCACTGACTCCGAATGGAATCCTTCTCCCCGGGAGAGAAAGAGGGTGAGCACAAAGTCAAGGAAGAGTTCACACAGGCAGTGGGTCTCCAGTGGGATGGCTCACGATGGTGGTAATTTTGAAAATAATTAGCAAGCCATATCCACAGCATTAATTAGTTTCTGGGAGGCAGCCATGGGACAGGGAATTGCTATTTTGATCGTCCCAATTCAGAGCTCTACTGAGCAGGTTTCTAGAAGTAATACATATTATTTTCCCCCTATGGGCACCAGCGATCACTTCCCAGAGGAATGTTGTGTGTGTGTGTGTGTCTATTTACACCGCCTGACTATAGTTCTCAGCCAGCGGACAAGATTATCGTCCAGGCTCCCAGAAACAGAGGCTCTGTGGGCCAGTCTCGTTTCTGGTGCATTCAACCAGGGAGGAAGGAGACTGACTAACTACTCCCAGAAGGCTCAGAGCCAGGGAGCACCAGATTGGAGTGTACCACGCAGGGGGATGGATGCTCTTGTTTGTAATGGTTTTGAGTAATGCTGTCTGACTACTAATGATGTCGGTGGTAAACATGCGTGTTAATGAGGTTAATCACAGGCTCATCTTAAGCAGATTGCCTGGGAGATGGGAGGATTTCCTCTTGGCTGTGTAATTGGCTAGTTGGGAAGGCTGAGTCCTGTGAGGTGAGCTGCCCTGGGCAGTAGGCCAGGGAGAGGCAGGAGTTTGTGCAGCCCAGTGACAGTCTGGCTGCACCTTATCCCATGAAGGTGCCCTAAGGGCCAAATGTCAGAACAAGAGAGGCTGGTGCAGGTTCTGCCCTAGAAAAGGTACAGAGAGTAGATCTCTAGGGCCTCTTGGAGCAATTTGTGAGAGTTTGCAGCATAATCTTGGTTGACTGTGGGAGGCTGGGCTGGCAAACCAATTCTCAGGGTACAAGAATCCAGGGACAGTGACCGTCAATTTCCGGGGACTGCCTCCCTCCTCCTCCTGCCAGAATATTAATATTTCTCTGAAATAGTCTCCCCTCCAGCTCAGTAGCTCATGTTTGGTTTCTTTCGAGACTCAGTTTAAAATAAAAATCTCATTTTCTTTAAGGATAATTCCTTGAGTGACTTTATTCTGATCTTTCCTTTGTTGGAGCCAGAATAAAGATTTCTCTCTCTCTCTCTTTCTTTTTCTTTCTTTCGTTCTTTTTTCTTCCTTCCTTCCTTTCTTTTTCTTCCTTCCTTTCTTTCTTTTCTTCCTTTTTCTTTCTTTCTTTCATTCTGTCTTTTTTTTTTTTGTCAGTTGTGGGGCTTGAACTCAGAGCCTAGTTGCTGTCCCTCAGCTTTCTCTGCTCAAGGATAGCAGTTCTACCACTTTGAGCCACAGCACCACTTCCAGTTTTCTGGTGGTTAATTGGAGGTAAGGGTCTCATAGACTTTCTTGGCTGGGCTTGCTTTGAACCATGATCCTCAGATATCAGCCTCCTGAGTAGATCAGATTACAGGCAGGAGCTACCATCACCTGGCCAGGATACAGATTTATGCTATGTTCTACTTTTCAACTCATGTATTGCAAAACTCACTTTCTTCATAAGGCATAGAACATTTGAGGCAGTGCTATTTTACAATGATCTATTGATTATAGTCCACTAGTTTTTGGCATTGCATTTCTCCTTCAATTCTAATACGTCCGAGATGTGGGTTAAATCTTCTAATCCATTGTACCTTTGGAACTCCTATTGTGCCAGTGTGTACCTGTGAACTGTGATGTATTTGCATGCTGATCCAATAGGTAGAAACACACTTCCTGATATTAAATTACAGTAACAATATACTCAGGAGGTACATGAAAGGTAGCTTGTCCCATAATAAATATATAAACTTTTGACCACCAGTGCAGCAAGGCCCTAGCTAAGTGACTGGTAAATATCATTTAGATCTCTGGTTTCAGCTTTCAAGAGTCATATCTGAAAAAACAAGGAAAGGAAGAAGCAGGGAAGGTGTTGGGATTTAAGTTGGTGACAGTCAACCTTCCACAGGTTCTTTCCATCATGATTTAGGAGTATTTGTAGTTTGATGTGTGATACAGTTAAATCAGCCCATATTAACCATGATGATAGATCATCATTCTGCTTTGAGAAATTCAATATCTACCCTATTTCTTATTCCTGAAGGTACACCTTTGTCCCAAGGATTGCTAGTCTATTTAATATGCAATTGGTCAATCATTGAGAATACTAGCTTTGTACTCAATTATACAATTGTATCCGGACTCCAATTAAACCTTACCCGAATCCCTATATTCAACAGCCATCCCTCTAATTTACAAAGAGAAAGTGCTTTTAATGGCAGTGCACAGAACAGCAGTTGTGCAAATCATCAGATGTGCTAGAATCAGAAGGCCTCAGCATCTGCAGCCAAGGGAGCTGGAGAGAGGCTGTGATTGAATCCTGCCTCTGACCTCTTATGAATAAAAGTAAGTGGCTTCCTCAGGTTCTTCATATGTACAATGGGGATAATAACAAAATACTTACCACAGAGCACTGATGACAGGATCAGGTGAGTTAATCCATGTGCCTACCACACTGTTACGGTTTAGTAAGTGATAGCTGCTAGTGGTTGCTATTATTTCATAATGTTAGAGAAAAACTCTACTGGGAGTAAATCTGGGAGTAAATTATTATTTCATAATGTTAGAGAAAAACTCTACTGGGAGTAAATCCCAGACATGTGAGTCTGGATAGATACAAACATAGGTTTAAGGGTAGAAATATAATAGGTATTTGGCAGAGTATTCTTTAGAAAGCTGCCTTTTTTATTTTATTTTTTTTTGCTAGTGTAGAGACCTGAATGCAGAGCCTCATGTTCTTGCTTAGCTTTTCACTCAAGGCTGGCAAGAGTGCCACTTGAGTCACACACTTTCATTTCTGGCTTTTTGCTGGTTAGTTGGAGACAAGAGATTCTCAGATTTGTCTGCCTGGGCTGGCTCTGAACTAGATACTAGGATGAGTTCATGAAGTGTATTTAGCATGAAAGACATGGCTTACTTTTGCTGGTGTGATTGACAAACTGGTATTTCCAGTTCCTCAGGCCCAAACCTTGGACTACACTGGAATCTTTGCCTTTTCTGGCACTCAGACTCTAACCTATCAGCCTGCTGGCTCTACCTTCTGATCTATTCACAATATGTCCACTTGTCCCTGAATCTCATTGTCTTTCCCAGTTCTTCCTGATCTCCTGCTGTTTTCCTGGTACAGCAGCCAGAGGGTACCATTAAAACCTGAATCAGGCCATGAGCTATGATCGAACTGTCATCACAGGCCACGCTTGGTCTTTCTAACCTCTTTTTCCCTGCTCTACCCATCTGCTCTCTATCCATACCATTCCTACTTTTCTTCAGTGTTATCAGGGAAATTCCTGTCTTAGGGAATTACCAACACAGTTTACTCTGTCCCCAATTACCAACACAATTTCCTCGGGCAAATGCTATGTTTTCAATGAGAGCTATGTAAAATTGCAATCAGCTTTCCCACCCAAAGACCTCTGGTTCTCTCACACCCCACTAGATCTTTCCTTTGTATATAGCTCTAGAAACATACATAATGTATATGTATATGTTATCATTTTTTCCTTTTACCTTCTCTCCCTCCTGTCGAATGCAAAATTCTCATTAGTAAGTGCTTTATTTACTGATTTTCCCGAATCCATAGAATATCCATTCTTTTAACTCCTTGAGTTAAAAGAAGATGGATTGTTTAATGTGTCTACTAGGCAAGTGAGAGACCTTGCCTTTTCTTTTCTTTTTATTGTAAAGAGCCTAGGTTGGGGGGGCAGGGAATGCAGCTTAGTGATAGAGTGCTTGCCTAGCAGGCATGAAGCCCTGGGTTCAATTCCTCAGTACCAAATAAACAGAAGAATCTGGAAGTGCTGCTGTGGCTCAATAGTAGAGTGCTAGCCTTGGGCAAAAGAAGCTCAGGGACAACACCAGGCCCTGAGTTCAAGCCCTAGGACTGGCAAAAAACAAAACAAGAGTCTAGGTTGGAGGCTGCCCTTTTTCTTTAGAAGTTCTTCTATGCCACTATCATTCCTTGGGGGTAAGAATGGGATTTACCTTTTGTTCCATTCCTTTTCCTGAGCAGGTCCTCCATGGGCTTTAGTTTGGAGGTTCTTCTCTACTTCTGTTACCTTGAGGAATGCTATCATAATCTAGACCCCCCCTCCCCCACCTATCTTTCAGTAGGTTCTCCTTTACCTCTGTCTCCAATAGTGACCTAAATTCTATGAAGAGGGCCTGAAAAATATTAATACTCCTGTGATGAATGCCTTCATATGCCTTTGTCAGTTAATGCTTTCACTTATCCCTCAGTATCTTGGCAAGAATCATCTGAGTGCAGCTGGCCTGTGAAGTTCAACAGACCTTAAGAAAAGAAGAATAGCAATGACCCACTAGCCCATTTCACAACTTTGCCTTGGGGTATATCTGGTCAGTGCATCTGAGGTCAGTTTAGATGCCAAACAGATTGCAGACAAACTAAATTAGATGGCAGGTGTTAAATCCAGTTCAACAGGACCCACGGAAGCCCTTGAAAGTTATCCTGGAGCTCCGGGTCCTGTCTCCATATGTTCAGTACTTCCAACAATCCACCCTTCTACCTCTGAGCTCTGGGTGCAGCTATGTTACAAATGATAACCCAGGAAAAGCAGAGGGTTAGGTTGTTGCCCTTAGGAGCTCAACTCTTCTTCCCACCTACCTGATGCTTCTGCTCCCACAGGCTTCTCAGTGTCATGCTTTCCACACTGCAGGCTGGGCACAGCTTGCTTCCAAAGGCTTCCTGGATTCGGAGAACCAGGTATTTGTGATGAGCTTCATCCATGGCATAGAAGTGGTTGAAATCCAAAAAGACAATCTCTTGAGGGTGTTGAGTGAGGAACGCATCGATCTCCATCAATCCATCCCAGACCTTGATGCCAAAAAGCCCGTGGATGAAGTAAATTTCCTGGTCAGCATCTCCTGGCTTAGAAGAAACGCGCAGGTCAAAGTAGCGAATCCCAGCCTCCAGCTGTTCGCGGAAGGTCAGGTTCTGAGTCACAGACCATTTCTTCATCAGCTTCTTTACCAAGGAGATCCTGGCCAGGCGTTTGATAGCTGGGGTTTGGTCAGGCCCCACTGGGGACTTTTCATCTACCCAATAGCTGAAAGAATCATGGGAGCCTGTACAAAGTGATAAAAAAAAATGAGGAACACAGATGGAGCTGGAGAACCAAGCCAAGAGTAAGAAAATAACTGTGATGATTAAGAACCAACTACACAAAAACTATCACAAATGAATACTTGTGAAAATTCCCAAGCCTGTGAGGAGGGAAATAAGCTCAAATAAAAGTAACACAATCCTATTAGCAGCTTGTTAAGACCAGAGCAATTCTATAATTCTCATATATTGTTGGTGTAAGATAAATTAAGAAGTATCCTTGCAGAAAACCATTTAAGAAATATGCTTAGAAATTGAGCTTTAAAATATTTATGCCGTTTTGATCTAGTGATTTCATTTCAGGAAAGCTGTTCTGAAGGAATAAACTCAAATGTTTGGAAAAACAAAGATGGATGCTGCAGAAAAACCTAATAGGTCTCTAGGGAGGATTGCACTTATTTATTTATATATTTGCTTGTTTATTTTGCAGTTCTTAAGACTGACCCCAGGAGTCAGTATTCATTCTTGCTAATTAAATACTGTACTGCTTGAACCATGCCCCTGTTCTTTTTACTTTTTTTGTTGTTGTTGTTGGACATGGAGCTTGAACTCAGGGCCTGGGTGCTGTCCCTGAGCTCTATCACTTTGAGCCATAGCTCTACTTTCTGTTTTCTGGGGGTTCATTGGAGATGAGTCTCCAGCCTGTCTGGGCTGGCTTTGAACCATGATCCTCAGATCTCAGCTTTCTGAGTAGCTAGGATTACCGGCATGCGCCATCAGCACCTGGCTCTTTTTACTTTTAAAATCATATGTGCATGATCATTTAGTGGTTATACAAAGGAGTTACCATGTAACACATCAGTTTATGAATGCAATGCATCTTGATCGATGTCACCCTTTCATTGTTCTCACCCATCCTTACAAACCCACCAACTTGTCCCAATTTTCTTAACTTTGTAGGATACCCATTGATTACTATGGCTGCATTCTCTCCTCACCCTTGCTTTATTCATCTATCTCCATCCCCAGATAATGTTTTAGAGACAGGGTTGTATGCTAATGTTAGCAAAGGAGGGCTCCGAACTTGCAATTCCCCTGCCTGTGCCTCTTGAGTAGCTAGGATAACCAATAATAAATATGTGTAAGTGAACGTAATGTTTAACAAATACTTTCAATTTCATCATTGCTTTCTTTCCAGTGTCAACCGTTATCACGATAGCAGGCTGCTTTCTTTAGCACAGTGACTGGCTCTGAGGTGGGACCGCACACAGCCTGGATGCACTTTGTGTGCCAAGGCAGGAGAGAAGCATCCTTGTTCTAACATTGATACCCGTGTCCTCCACTGCTCCTCAGTCATGTGTCTACACGTAGTACCCGTTACCAGGTCTCTCTCTCACTGAATTTTAGAGTATGTATCTCAGAGACAACCCTGAACTTCATAAAACTACCACATTATGCTATATCTTTCCATTCTTTCTGAAAACACAGCACCCTCTTCAGCCTTTTATTATTTTATTATCTTGAAAATGAAGTGTGAAAAAAAAACAGGTAACAAATAATGCTTTCTTCTTCTGTAAGGTGGAAGAGATTCAGTAAATAGTAAGAAAAAAGTGTGTTTATTAATCCTTTGGCAAATTGAAGTTCACAAGTGAGTAAATTGCCAGCATACTTCAGGTTAAAGTTTGTCATTACTAATGACATGTCCATGTGGATGTTCATATTGTTGTTGCTGTTGTTCTTTTTATCCCGGCCCTGGGGCTTGAACTCAGAACCTGGGCACTATCCTTGACTTTTTTACTCAAGACTAGTGCTCTACCACTTTGAGTCAAAGCGCCACTTCTAGTTTTCTGGTGATTAATTGGATAGAAGAGTCTCGCGTACTTTCCTGCCTGGGCTGGCTTTGAACTGTGATCCTCAGATCTCAGTTGCTTGTGTAGCTAGGATTACAAATGTGAACCACCAGTGCCTGGCTTTTACATCGGTTAGTGCTGCTCGTGGCCTCACTGGGTGCTTGCCTTATGATCTATTTCCTTTAATGCACATCAGCAAGAAATTTTTATACCTTCTCATTGAGAGATTGATAATGAATACCTTGTATATACATGGGGAACAGCCAGTTCTCTTTCCCTTTTAAATTGTATTAACAGCCCAGCTGCTCAGGCTTCAGTGTGTGACATAGAGTGAGGCACATATTGGACTTAATTCTTCCCTGGGCACAGGGAACAGCCATTATCCAAACATAGAGGAAAGACAAGTCCCCTAGTGTGTGCTTGTTGGTGCTGAGCCCAGTTTCAACTCCACAGGGAGAAGTGCTAACAACCTCCAACACTTTTCTCTCTGTCTCAGAACTGTGCTGAAATGTGGCAGCAACAGTCCCCTGGGGGTGATTCCCACACAGTGCCCAATCCTCCCCACAGAGGGAGAGGGTACACATTCTATGTCTCTATGTCTTTTTAACTCTTTGCTACGTTCTCATCTCTCTATCCAGTAGTCGTATGCCTTCTGATACCCTGTGCTGTCTACCTACCCCCACTTCTACAAGGCAAGACTGTGGAGCAGACTGCTTGCTCATTGACACTTAGTGAAACTGGCCTACTTAGGCCCACAGCCGACAAAAGCAACCCTTAATAATTTTGCCTTTCTACTTACTTGGTTTTGGGGGAAGCTTTCACCTGATGATAATAAGAATGTCATTCACTTAAATGCATTTAATTTTTTTAAAAAAAGATCAAAACAAGCTAAAAATAACCTCTCTCCTGCCCATTCAACATTTATGTGCAATGCATTCTTAAACAGTGCCTCTACAAATCCTATTACTTTATAATCCACATTCATTATCAGTAAGTTCTCCCTTTCTCCACTGTCTATGGAAGTTATTTTTCTCCTTAACCACCATCTATAAAAAGAACAATTCCCTCTCTGCCCTGGGATAATGAATTAAATCTCCCCTCCCCTCCCCAGAAGAGGAGAAAATACTGGTTTATTGGTCCTTGCCTTATTTTATTTTATTGTCAGAGAACTGGTGCAGAAGAATATCTAGGTATATGAGTGTCATTCATTCTGGCTTGTTTCATGACAAGGGCAGAACACAGAACAGGAGCTCATGTGCTGTGATTTCCTGCAAGTATTTTTGCTCCAACAACCCAGCATTGCCTGTGCTCACTCCACTTCATGTTTCCTCTCTCTCTGCCTCAAAGAGTACCACTTTAATGAGGTACTACCTTAACATAAAACAAAGCACACTGCCTCATGTGTCTTCCCTTTGATACTGCTGGCTTCTCCTTCTTCCCTGCAGTCAAAGTCTTCAACTTCCAGGCGGGGCTGCAGCATTAGTCTGTGCCGACTTCCCCATGCCTCACCAAATCCACCTCCCACCCTTCTACTGTTACTCTCCATCCCCACAAGCTTCTTGTCAACATATCCAAAATGATGTTACTCTCTGAAGGTTTGCCAAGTCAGCTCTTTTCTGGATCCTTCCATTCTCTTGTGCTCGGTGATGCATCTGCATATTTCTGGGTGTTTCTATCTCTTCTCCACTTTTCTCTTTACATCTCCCTTGCTTGCTCCTCTTCCTCCCTTTTTTTTTTGTTGTCAAGGTGATGTACAGAGGGGTTACAGTTATCTTCCTCCTTTTGGACCCCGTATTTAATGTCTTCCTAGGATCTCTTTCTTTTTGCTTTCCCCCACCCCCTTTTCCTGGCTTGGGAGAGTCCATCCATTCCCCTTTTACCACAACAGCATTATGTAGGTAACACTAGAAACTTCTTTTCTGGCCCAGATTCTTCTAAGTTCTAACCTTCCTACAACTGGTCCTCCACCTGACAAGACTGCCCACATTACAATTTACATTTATCCAAAACCAGCTACTCATGCAGTGTTAGCCTCATATAGTACCTCTTCTGAATTTCCATTGTTAACCCTGTCACTCAGACTTCCAGCCCCTGGATTGCACCAGACCCAGCCAGGTGCTCATGGCTCACATCTGTCATCATAGCTACCCAAAGAGGCAGAGATCGGAGAATTGTAGTTCAAAGGCAAACCAGGAAGAAAGCCTGTTAGATTCTTATTTCATATTAACCAGAAACAAATTGGAAGTGGAGGTGCAGCTCAATTGGTAGAGTGCCAGCCTTGGGAGTGAAAAAGCCAAATGAGATTGGGAGCCCCTGTACACACACACACACACACACACACACACACACACACACACAAACACATACACCAATCACCAAGACCTTCTGAGCCAGATAATCCCCAGATGATTTTACTGAACTCCAGGCTTGACACTGCTATCAAGGCAACCTTTCCCTTTCTTGACAAGGTTCAAATACTAATCTGCTGGGAAGGCCATCCCCATGTCTAGGGATATGTTTTTCTGTCCAATCTAATGTTCTGGGAATGCTCGCTGTAAACAACTGTGTAGTCACAGCTTGATAGTGGATAAAAGAGATATTGGAAGGTCTTATTTTCCTTATTGTATCTTCTAAGAAGTTATTAGATGGGGTTGCTCAAGTTTAATTAGGGCCTTTGGGATTGTGCTGGGTCACAGAGGTCAGAATAAAGACACTGGGACTGTGAAATCACGAAGGAAGAGAGATTGGAATGGGGAAAGTTAGCAGGATCCATGTTCAGTGTTATTGTTATTTTCTCTTGGATGGCCCTGAGATACAAGATCATCCAAGAGGCCAGGAATGGAAAGAGTGAGCTGGCCTTCTGACTTGCAGGGGCAACAGTTTGTCTTTATCTGGAGCATAAATTGCTGCTTGATTCTTCCTGTGGTTTGGGTTCTGGGAATTAGAGATCTCAAGTGAGCACAAGGTGTTTTTTAGTTAAAAAACTTTCATTGCCTACTTTTTGCAAATTGGAGGCATAGCCATTTTCTGAACTCAGTTAAAAAGAATTTAAGTGAGCTTCCTGAGAATCTGAGTTCTAAATACAAAGAAAAAAATCTAGTTCCCTTACTCTGAATAATACATTGCATTACAGCACAGTGGCATTTCAGAAGATATTCCAGGGTGTTTCCAGA